CAACTTCCTCTGCTTCTTTATATTTCGTCTCCGTCTCCCCAGTGCACAGTTTACAACAGATTTACTCTTTTTCACGCCTTCTTGTTCGCTCTAGATTGCTTTCATTTTCACTGCCGTCAAAAACCCACGCCTTTCTCCCCACAGCTTTTCCCTCACTTCCTTCTGTCCCTTCCTCCTCACCAGCAGTCTGCAAGCATTCGTCTGTCTTGTCACATGTAACACACACCGCATTTAGACACAGCACACAAAAAAAACACACACACACACACACACACACACACACACACACACGCTGAACTGCCCCCCTGTCTTCCAGGGCATTGCTGTAAGCCTATGGAGCAGATGGGCTCAGGGCTGACTGACTGAGCTGTGCTCTGACAAACCGCCTGTGTTGCTCAGATGAGGGGATGATGTCCTTTGCACAGTCTCTCATCTAAATCTGGCTGGCCACAGATTTGCCAATCTAGAAACTGGCCACTGGTTGAACAATCTGGCTACTCACGGTTTTTACAACATGGACAATCCAGAGACGTTTTGATACAGAAACAATCAGCCAGTTTTATTATTTCCATTTCAGATATATTAGCATTTCTACCTGAGAAATATACCCCCCCTTCACAGATGGTTTCATTTAAATTACTGTTCGTGGTCCAAACAGGACAAATTGTCCATTATTTCAAAGGCTAGATTGTCCAAATCTTAAAACTATGAAAATATTTTTTTTAATTATTTTTTGTCTTTTCTGCCCCATTAATCATCCCATTATCCCTTAGACTTCTCTAAATAGTTAAAACTAGCTCCACCTCGAACTGCCACAACGGTAAAATGCTGCTTATACACTAATGCATCAGTATTGACAATGTAATATTGTCAGTGATATAGAGGAACAAGTGTCTATCTATATCTAGTGTCTATACTTTTTATATATTTAAAGTGATTTTGCCGATAAAACTTTTAAAGTAATTTTACATAAGTGTACTGGTACTTTTACTTATATAAGTAAGTGATCTGAACACTTCTTGCATCACTGCAAATAAGCATCCAGGCTGAAATATACTGTCACTGCCTGATTTATGGACATCATCAGACAAGACACTCAGCGATTTAGTGACAAAATAGTTTCAGCTTATTTTTTCTTTTAGTCATTATTCAAACATTACTTGACATCCACACAAACCTTTTCGTCACATCTCCAATGCTCTGTCAGGTTCTGTCACTGACAAATGATTCTGCTAATTCTCACTCGAACGAGTATTCTCATAACCTCCCCACTTGATGCATGAAAACTGCAGAAAATGATGGAACTTGGCAGAATCGCAGTCCAGCTTGTATTGACTGTGATCGCCCTCTTCTGGTTTGTAGTGTGAACTGCCTGTGGCTCTCAGGTTGTGGTAGCGGAGAGAATGAATAAGGTCATGAATTGGACATGAAGCCAAACGCCCCTTTCCCCACTGGAGGAGCAGATGGCAGCTCCCCAGTGCACAAGGCAGGGAGATGCTGCCACCAGACGCTCCAAGCAGGGTGTAAAAACACACACAAACACAGACAAATTAACGTTGTTGTGTGCATGTATTTGTGAGCACACCACTATCAGTGAGTGTTGTACACACAGACAGAGATGCGCACACACACACACTTGTCTGTCCAGCAGCTAGCTAATGAATACAGAAAGCTTTTCTTTGTTGTATCTGAGGGTCAAAATGCCTCTTGACCTCTATTACCATTACATTGCAGGTTTGTATCAGAGGTACTGACATCAGTGGTTTTTCTCATGATGCACAAACTTTAGCTGCTAGGCTTGATTTTCACACAGCTCCTTTTGTCCTGTGTAATATGAACCATATTAACCTGCAATGACTTCCAGGCATTTTGAGTCATCATGTTGTGCTCACACCACCCTATTATTCAGCGTTTTCATTCAGAGGAAGAAGATTGAATCTTAAAATTTTCCAAGAGCTGCTCTCTTTCTGTCCAGTGGAGACATTAAACTTTGCAATTTTGCCATTATTTGACAGAGTGACCAATAACTTTTTAGGTTTTATAAAGCACTGAACACCATCAGCTTTCTTCTATCACATGCACTGTCCGTGAAAAGATGAACACCCTACATTTTAACTTTTTTGGTAGGAACATGATTCAATTGATTTTTGCTACAAATCCTGTATTAGGGTGATTTAGATCTGGGCCATTTCTAGGTCATGTCCAATAAGATAAACAAATTTTTCTTATACCTGTACCTTATACCTGTTTACAGTTCACCTGTCTCATTTAAGAGTATAATTATCTACAGTTACAGCGCATTAACATAAAATGCTAAAATGTTCTAAACGTTTGACTGGCAGTGTACAGTTTACCATCCTGTCTTCATTAATAATGCCACTATCACTGTCATTTCGAGGCGTACTGGTTGACACATTGAGGAGGGCATGCTAAGCTTAGCTGAGTGGCGTGTCACGACGGGATATGAGGCAGTTAGCTAATGTGGTGTAAAAGGATTTAGAGGATTTGACCCTATCAGCGGAGATGGCACTCAGAGAGGCTCTGTTAATGACACCAAATGAGTCTGTGCCTGCAGCATGTTAATAATGGTGCTATGAAAGCCAGGCTTATAATTTATATGGAGATTTTTTTTTTGCAAATACCTATTTGCTAGAAGTGTGTAAAAGTAAAGGCGAGGTAACACACCATACATTTCAGTACCTTCTCTGAAACAGTGAATCACACTGGCCTGCAAATTAAGTGTAATCTTGGAAGTGAGCTTCTTTTCTCACATCCCATCACTTATTACCTGTCGAGCAGTGCGCTGTAATTGTCTCATTCTCTCCTTTGCTCCAGGTTTTTAGCTCTGTGAAGGTGAGCACGGAGATTTTTAGTAATGTCCTTCCCTACGGAGTTATAACAGCAACAAAAAATCTGTCGATTTTATCGATTCCAATGTTCCTTTTACAAAACTACAAAGCAGATGTACATTTGTTTCCTTGAGACAGGAGGTGGCAGGTTTTTTGTTTTGTTTTCTTCCTTTTTTTTTGGCTGCTGACTGGCAGTTTATTTTTCAGTTATTAAGTATATGCAGTAAGAGTACATGGCCAGAATCACATAACAATGTATGAATTTTCACTAAGGTGTTGTTGGCCTGCCCACCTGACTTCCTCTGAATGAATTAAGATTAAATGTACCTCTCTGAGATTGAGTTATTAAGCACTTTATTAGTTTTCTTAACATCGGATGAAAATCTGCAGGGGCCCTAATAACAAGATATCATTCATCTTCCTTCATTCCAATCAAAATCAAATTCACTGCGCGCTGTCGTACACTATAACTACTATTTATCAACCTTGGAGAGTGATTCGATAGAGAAGTGCGGTATAACTATATTAAATAAGAACCAAAATGCTTAAAGGAATGAAGGAAACTGATTTAAAGTGTCATTCTAGTGCTGCCAGGGTTCTGCTTGTCTCAAATAGCTGCCAAAACTGTTAATAAATGACAGACAAATTCCATAAACATTTGCGATAAGATAAGCATGAAAAAGCCCACAATTCTGTAAAGGAAACATTCATCTCAGGGTTTTCAGATAGTCAGAGTCATTTCTTAAAGTGCATTCACAAAGATAAGGATGCAGCGTGGAAGACTGTTGAGTTTTGGATATGACTTTGAACAATGGTTTCTGCCGTACAGGGGAGGGCTCCTTTAGTCCAGCAGGAATGAGAAAAAGTAATCAAATATTTTATAGATACTAACCAGATTGATTTATTTTTATATGGCTCTCAAGCCAGAACATCGAAAAATGAAAAGCATTCTTTTTGCTTAAAATGTAAGTGCCTCCCTTTTCTTAGTAGGGGAGCAGACCAGGCTGATAGGAGGCTGAAATCAGATAATGTTTCTGTTTGTTTGAATGGTGTCTCCTGCGTTTCTTTTACATACAAATGTATTTTCAGATGCATAAATACCATAAATGTCTGTATCCTCTTTGCTTTACTTTTACATAATATTCCTCATCCATTGTCATCTATCCTTCTCCACGACAAGAAGCACCATCCTTGCAGCCTTGCCAGCCAGGGCATTGGCACAGCTTGACTAGGAGGACAAGGAGGTGTAGTTGCCAACTCCTGCCGCCCACCACCCGCTGGTCAAATCCTCTTTGCTGGTTTCACTGTGACAGTCTGCCCACCATCCTTGGCTCACCATGCAAAGATAGGACAGGAGCTCAGTGGCCAGTGCCAGGGATACCCACTGGAGGTGGGAATAGGAGAGAGAAGGAAGAGTGGAGGAAGAGAGAGAAAGAGAAACAGATGGAATAATGGGCAGAGACACAAACAGAGTGCTACTGGCTGAAAGAAAGGGCTCTCCCAGAAATTTGGCTGTTTTGCATCACAACTAACCTGTAGGATATGCAGAGAGGAAGGCAGAGGCAGCAGCTATATTATTTAGATTAATTTTTTTACTATAAACATTTTTTTATTGGTTAGTTTTCATATGGAAGGGTATATAATTGAACGTATAATGCCACACCAACACAAAGTTTAATTTGTTGGAAATGTTTTGGCAATGACTAATTCTTCTTTGACTTTTAATCTCCTTTTTCTGAATATAATTAGACAGAAAAAGAGGAGATACTTGTTTTCTGGCAGCTGTAAAGCCCCACATAGCTGTGGAGGTGTTTGGAGTTGCAGATGACTGCCGGCAATTGTTCTCTTACCCATAATGGATGCCCTGACCCACAAGCTTTACAGCTTGTCTTTATTCCACAAGTTGTTTTTCTATCCATTTCCAGCATTTTAACACAGATGTTCGCTGTGGGAGGCAGTGGAAAGCTGGCTCATTCACTGCACAGTATTTCCCTCACAGCCCTACAGCTAGCCTGTTTGTTGTGTGGTTTGGCACATAAGTGGGTGTATTTGTATGGCTGAGCTGATGATGAGCTACAGTACTACGTTAACCAATTCTAAACCTCTTCCCTCCTTCTTTTTTGTGTCGTGTCTTTCTGTCCTGTTTTCTAGGAGTCACCCTCGAGGTCATCAGTCAACTCTACTCGGCCTGGAGGTCTTCTAGAGGGTTGGGCCTCCTCGCCATCATGAAAGGGTTGGGGACCAACCGTAACAGACACCTGTCTGACTCCTGTGATCCTTCCTCAGGCCATCCAGAGGCCCTCTACCCTCAGAAGACCAGCACCCTGCCACGCAGCCCTTACCTGCTGAGCCCCACGATGGACCACTATGGCACCATGGACCCCCACCTCTACCCTTCAGCCAACCCGGGCTCCTTTCCACCAGACTGCATGCTGCCCCTCAACAACCAGCTGTCCAACAGCAGCACCTTTCCCAGGATTCACTATAACTCCTATGACCAGTCTGACTTCTCCCCACCTGGAGACAGTATCGGGGGGATAAGTACAGGGACCATGGGGACATCCATGTCCATGGGCATGGGAACGAGCATAGGCATGGCAGGGTTGAGCGGACGAACACCTATGATTACAAGCGGCTCAGCAACTATATCACATCATATGACCAAGAACCAGGCACCAGCCAGTCTGCTGGAGTTTGACAAGCAGCTACCTGGAGGCCATGACGGATTCAGCACATTGCAGTACCATCGAACGTCTGCTGTTGCTGCTGCCAAGCAGCGCACAGACAGTCCTGGTCGCATTCGTTATATGCTGCACTCAGTGCAGAAGCTGTTTGCAAAGTCCCAGTCACTGGAAAGCCACAACATGAAAGGAAATGTCAACGGACGCTCTACTGGCAGTGGCGGAGGCTCGTCTGGCACCGAGGACGGTGGGAAGCAGAATCGTCGATCCAAAAGTAAAGATCGAGGTACAAAATCAGAGGCGACTGCCAAGAGACGGCCACGCTCCAACATGTCAGGTTACTGGAGCTCAGACGATTTGGACAGCAGCGATCTGAGCAGCTACCATAACACCATGGCCATGATGACTCTAGGGCGTCCAACAGGCCACGAGAGCCAGGGAGGGCAGAGCAGATACATCCACAGTGGCTACAACACTATCAGCTCCTCAAAAAGCAGCAGTGACATGAAGTATCAGGCACTTCCTGGGCCTGGGGGTGGAGGAGGTGGTGGATTAGTAGGAACAGGAGGGATGTTAATGAATGATAATGATTATATGAAAGGAGGGTCCTGGTCCACTTTGACCATGGGCCAGCCAAGACACGTGATCCAGAAGGGCTCCGCTACTCTGGACAGGTCCATGCTCAAGTCCAAATCCTGCCAACAGGAACTAACCTGCAACTACCTGCAGGTTGGCCGGAGGGTGAGTAGGCCTGAAATGAATAAAGTGCTTGATAAAAGTTACCTTTATTTATATATAAGTATTTATATTTACAGACTCATAAACACCTATTCCTACATGTAGGTTAATACACATTTCAAAGTTATTATCAAGAGCACTTATGCAGTGAAAACTGAGGACTAATTTCAGCCACTTAATGCTGCCTATAGGGTGATTGGAGTAGCACATTAGGCCGCAGTGGGGGTGCCAACGAAATTCCATGTCGGCGGATGCGCAGTGGTAGCTATGTGAAGGCCATGGGAGACATGGAAGACAGCGACGACTCAGAGGGAAGCCCCAAACCCTCTCCAAAAACTGCTGCTCGCCGCCAGAGCTACCTCAGGGCTACGCAGCAGTCTCTGAGCGACCAGCTACCCCCACGCAAGTAAGAGCATAAACTGAGACACAGAGCTGTGTTTTATTATGCCGTACACATAAGCACTCAACAGCAGGGGAAACAACATCATGGTAAAGGTGCAATCTGTGATCCAAATGTTAACCAAAGAAACCCAGTGGTTAAAATTCAAAATACAGGTTAGCAACGTGCAATCAGCACAAAAGCATCAGTCACAAAATGATGGACAGGTCTTTTAATAAAAACATCAGACAATTGTGAATCTGAATGCTTTCTGATGCTGTTGAAAGTTTGAGTAATGTTTGTTAGAAGAACCATAAAACAGTCATGATCATTTGAGAAATACACAAAATGTTTATTTTTGTATCGTATAATTTAAAGGCCTCAGTCTTATGTATGCTGTAGGCATATGAACTTTGATGAAAAGTTACTGATTGGGCCTTTAAAATTTGATTTGTGGCTGGAAAAAGTGTTCACTTTCAGGGAATCCACCGACACTCATAAGAACACGTATTTATAAATACTGATTGGTACAACTCAGCTCTCAACGATCAAAAGAAAATAAATAAACCACCCTTTCCTGGGGGTGTGCCGGAAGGAAACCACCATGCCCAGCCTTACCACGCCAGCATGCAGGAAAATACAAATGCATACTACGTGCACACACAGTCCAAGCTGTACTCGCTCACACACACAATTAAGTGGTGACTACCACACCTCAACTGTGATTTACTTTTTTACATTTGGTCCCACAAAGCGTCAGTCTAGCTAAGAGGTTATAGACATCATTAGTGAAGTTTATGCAATATGACACTGAGTTTTTTTTTTGTTTTTTGCACTCAGCCAGTAAATCACAAGTGAGACATTGTGTGTGCCTCACTTGTCTTTAAATTACATGCACTCTGAAGCAGAATATATGATGCAGGTACAGGAGGACATTACGTAGGTGAGTTGAGTGTATCTTCTCATAAAATGGCAGAAAATAAATTCACAGTCTTTAATTTGTGTCTGACGCAATGTTTAAGAAAGACAGATCTGTCACGTTTTGTAATATCTACTCAGATTTCATAACTCAAAGTGTTTGGCACATGTGCAGAGAGACATTCATAATGCTCTGCGGTGATGACAAGTTTTGGCAGTAGTTACATCTGCTGTCTGAGAAGAAATAGTTTCTGTGTTTCAAAGTTTTTATCTGACATCTGTGAGGGTTGGCTCCAGAAATTCACAAGAGTTTAATGATTCATTTTATTTTTGTCATGTGCCATAGATTTTTGTGCTTTAATATACTCTGTCCGTTGCTCTCACAAGAAACAGTACAGTCATCGTAAGTAAATTGAACAATGTTCTGAAGTTTCTTCACTTAAGTAGTTCCATAGATTGAAAGCCTCAAGCGACAATAAAGTGACAGTAACTTTTATGAAGCAGCTCTGGTTTTTGTTGTCAGGATTGTTCTGAAGTTTGACGGTTGCAGTGTCAAAATGTCATTGTCACACTTTATGCAGATTCTTTAACTAGATTCAACCAAAACAAGAGGGTGGCATCTTGAGAAACACAACCACAGGCCTACCTGCTTTACACACTTCCACATGAATAAAAGATTTCACATCACTTTAAAGTCTGTGTTTAGAAATGTGAGGATTTATTCTTCCCTAAAGCGTGCTTGAATGACTAACCCTACTCCCCCTGCCAATCCGCTGACCATCCCACCCCACTCTCTTCCGGTTTGCTCCACCCTGATTGGTGGGAGCAGCAGAACCCTGGATTACACCTTGTTGCAGGGGGAGCTGGATGCCCTGTGGTCTCCACTCCACAGTGTGTCTTCTCTGCACCAGCTGGGCAGGTCAATGAGCAGGTCAGTGATAGGTCTGTAAGCCACGTCTCAGGGGTGTGGTGCAATACACTTATGTCTGATTGGATGATATATCATCATTGACTTTGCACTGCCCCCCTCAGATGTATGCAAAGTCAGCGGCAACTCCAAATGCCAAATTCATGCTCTGCTGCCAACGACTGCCAATCTCCCTTAAGCTTGTAAATACCATCTGCCCAGTGCTTTTAGGTGGAAAGTAGCTGAGTCTGACACTTTTCAAGTGGAGGAATGGGGGGACATCTTTGTGCATAGACCATGGCATGACAGTTTACTGTCATGTTACAATCACTGCGTGCCAACAAAGAATATGTAAAAACATGACTTTGGAGCTACTGTTCAATTAAACCTACACCTGTTCTTTGGCTTTGGCACCATGATAGCACAGAGAGCTCTGTACATGCGTCGCCTCACATCACCGGCTTTGCATGCTCAGGTACTACAACAATTGATGGTAAAATTAGATGAAATTGTAATTCAGACTAGACTTGGATTCATGATAACTCATAAAAGTGGAAATGAAAGGGATGACTTGAATAACAACCTTATCCTCTTTCTATCTCTCTTTCAATTCCTGGTTTTGCTGATGTTCGTTTTCTCCCCCAATCCATGTTTCCCTTCGGCCTCTCCGTCATAACATATAAGCATCAAATGTTTCTCTGAATGTGACCTCATGCACTCCTGACATTGCTTTTAATTTTTCTCCTGATGTGTCATATCCTTAACACATCTCCTTTATCTTGTTTCTCCTCTCATCTTACTCCCTTACCAGCTGTCTTCCATCTCTCAGAGAGCTCTCCAATAACCGCAGCCTGGACAACCTTGACTGCATTGAGGGTACAGGTTCGTCTTTGCCACGCTGGGATGATGATGACTTCAGCCAGGCCTGCAGTACCTTGGGTCGACGTAGCTGCATGGGACAGGTCAGTGCTCCTCTCCCATCCATCAGAGGCGGAGGCCCGTTTCTCTCTGTCTGTTTGTTTCTCTTTTTCTCACATTAGCATAGCAGATTTTTTCCTAATGAGTTATGAGCACATTTGTACTTGTTCATAATTTACATCACTTAGCTCCAAGCAAACTCAAATCACCAGTCATTTTCAAAGAACCCTTTGTCTGCCTTGAGCTACACTCATTTCTGATGTATAATTAGTATTTTCACAGATACGGCCTGATGACAGCAATAAAATGAGCTTCCAATGAACAAAGGGTCCATATTTTCCAACTGTATCTCATATTAATGTTATGAACCTAAAAGACATCTGAATGACAGTGGTAGCTTTAAGTCTACTTCATCTACTTACATAAGAGCTATTAGCCTCCCACTGACAAGGTCACTGAGATGATGAACAGCTGTAAAAAGTGCCTCTGATCTTTTTCAATGAACTAGTCAAATGAGGCAATGCAGGCAATTAGTACAGGATTTGTACCCTATCTCAGACAGGTCACTGCTTTACAACAAATGTGGCCAATATATGAATGTATTGGTTTAATTTGCATGCGCAGCAGCATACCAAACAAATATAATATTCAGTATAACTTGAACCCATTAAGGTCAACTTGTGTAATTTTGAACTTTTTGAAACAAAATCAATTTGAAGAGGGAAAAGTGAAATCACCCGCAGCGAAAACTTTAACATGACTCCAAAATGTGCTTAGCTGTAACCGCCAGATGTTCTGCTTCATTTTCTTTTTTGCTGACTCTCTTGCACTTACCCTCTCATATCCTTCTGGTACTAGTCATTGAACCATCAAAATACATCAATTTTTTTTTTTTTAACACATTTTTGACTTACTGAGGCTGTTTCTGTCAACCAACAGAATGTGAAACCCATCATCTGCAAGACTGGCTCTTCCTCTTCAAAAGAAGTCTTGGAAATGGTTCACTTTTTATGAGCATGCAGTTGCTGTGTAAAAAATACTAAAAACTTCAGTCAAACATCAGTCAAAGAGATGCCTCTTGCCCTGGTATTTCTTTCATTTTCTGTAAGTTGACAGGTCTTATAGAGTAGGCCATGTAAGAAATGCATTTGACAGATGAAATGACATCCCATCCAGAGACCCGGCCTGAGAGGAATTATAGGAGCAACAGTGGTTTCGCTTGGCTTGCACAGCTCTGTGATTTCCACTACTTAGCACCAACTGCAGTTTTCCACACAGTTAAACTTTTGATACTTTTTGTGCCATTTAACTGTATGCCATCAAATCTGTCTCACAGGTGGAGAGCAGCCTTTACAGACACATTCAGCTGGGCAGCTGTTGGTCACCTCTGTGGTCAAAATGAACCCACACATACATTACTGTTGCCCTTGCTACACATACTGCTATGTCTTTGCCAACCTTGTTCTGTCCTCACTCCAGCTACGGGACCTGGAAATGAGTCATCACTATGAGGACCGCAGCTCCGAGTCCACATTCAGAGATTCCCGTTCCCATTCTCAGGACAACCCAGAGCCTCCAGACTTGCCCATGCCAACATGCTTCCGATCCCGCAGCCACAGCTACCTGAGAGCCATCCAGGCTGGATGTTCCCAAGATGACGACACAGCATCCATAGACTCAGGCTGCTCACCCCCTCCGACTGACACCAGTGTTCGCACCTACAGCACCAGTACTGGTGAGTCACCTCCTGAAAAACAGATGATACATTTTTTTAGCAAATGAATTTATTTGACCTCATAAACCAGATAAAGAGGGAAATGGAAGCGTTCTAACATGATGCATCGTTACGTGCTGCTGAGATCATCTGAATGCTTTCTGTATAATATACCCAATATATATGTAGGACGCATCTGTTTTGTTTTTTTATTGGGTTATTAAACCTTGGTCATTTTTGTGAGGTTTTGACCCCTTTTCCAGTCACATGGGCCAAATTTTTGCTTTGATTTGTATTTCCCATAACATTACTTTGAATGCTCTTCATAGCCTTGATCCTGGGTGGATACAAGTCCTCCAACATGCACACACCAGCATTTTAGCTCAAATGCAGCCTCTTTTGCCCATGCTAGACGACCTATCTACCCAATGGAAGACTTGGAAAGAACAGTTTGGCTCTTACCTCATAGCCACGGGCTTGGACAAAGCCCCAAAGGAGAAACTACTTGCAATTTTTCTACAGCGTTTGGGAACAGACAGACGACGCATCCTACCCTCACACACAGGTAACAATTTGAAAACCAGCTCCTCTCCCCTAAAAAAGATTATTAATTTACTACTTCATGGACAACAAATGAATAAAATCACTACTGAAACGAGCTCAACTAAAAAGAGTCTAGTGATGTGCACACAGCTGCCCCATCAATTGTTGGAGAGCTAACCGAGGAACACTGGATCATGCTGCTGCTCCAGATGAAGCATCACTGTGGAGCTTTGGTTATCACTTAAGTTATTCCAGGACATGACAACAGGACACAGCTGCATAAGTATCGACACTGGGCAGTTAGCTTGCCATCTCGACGTCGAACTTGCAAAAGCAGAGGAATTGTGGATGTGTGTGCTGACGCACATAAGGTCAAAGAAGCTTTGTATTGGTTGTTGACATCTGACTGGTCCCAGAGTTCAGAAATAGAGCGTGGATTTACTGGAAGTGCATGTGCTTGGGTTATTATTACTGAGCATCCACAACGTGGCGCTCTTCACCACAGTCTTCTAAATACATCTTAGAGTATATGCTGCCTTCAAGATAGTGGAATTTTTCCTTTTTTTTTGTCTCTTATTTTAAATATTTGGACGGTTGGTAATGGCTGACTTTTTCAGAAAATAAGATAGGTGCTTTTTCGCAAATAACACAGAAAGCTGATGAGGGCAACAAGCCCATAGCTTTTACCTTTTTTCAAAAACCTGAGAGTGCATCATAATGTATTTCTCTTAATTGATTCTATGTATTTCTTTTGTGCTGTGCAGTATAAAAGTGCACATCGGTGGTTCAACGGTCCTGAACCATATGTTACAACCTAAAGGTGATACATTGTTTTTCAAGTATCTCTCCATTTACACTGATCTATAGCTTAGAGTTAGGTTGTCCGAGGCGCTTTTGAAGGCACCAATAGACATGCCACCACGCCTCCCTCGGGCTCAGAGAAACACTCCAAACAAAAGGCAACGAAACCCGGCGTCCCTTCTCCACAGCTTTGACAGGGATAGTAGTGAGCGTACACTCCGGGTACAGCTGACTTCAAAGTATTCAAGTCTTAACTCAAGACAAGTCTGTTCTTTGTTTTTGTCTGCGCCTGGCAGCACGGTAAGAATGATTTCAACCGTTTATTTTTGGGGACACTGTTCGTTCGTTATTGTTATAAGTCAGTACTCCATTGTAACTGCTGAATTTGTTTTCCGTTACTAACGTTAGTAGCCTAGCTTGTTTGGAGCTCGGAAGCTGGTTAAACGTTGACCAGCGACATTTCTACGTAGCTACTTTACCTTGTTTGCCGCTTCATCTGCTCTTTGTTGACAATTAATTTAACATATGGTATAACTTCAGCAGGTGCTATTCACCAGTACAATCAGACGCGTTTAGATACCCAAAATTTATCTTTCAGCCTCTCACTCATTCGGCTGCCTCTCTGGCTAAAACAACATTGTCTCTCATTACTAAGTTAACAGTCGCTCCATTGTAGCTAAATTTAGAGAAATTGGCTCATGTGTCTAAACATGTACAGATTTAGATGATCGAGAAAGACTAAAGCAATGTTAAGGAGAGTCAAACGTTTTGAGGCATCCCTACCATCTGTTTGGTGTCTCTAAGTTCAGAGATAACGTTAAATATCTGATGTGTCTCTGCTTTTTTCCCCACAACTACCTCCATAACTGAAATGTTTCATGCTTTCAGTGATGCTGATTAATGCACTCTTGACTATATTAATTATTGAGTATTACCCACCATGTGTTCTATACAAAGTGCTCTGTCATCACAAAAGCATGTCTCCGCAATGTATGCTTTTATGGCTATGATGCCCCACTGTGGGAGTCAGGATAAAAGGGGGGATGCTGTTAAACTGTATGAGAACAAGTTATATCTGCTTGTCTGAATGGCAATTTAGCTGCTGTGTTAGCATGTCTTCATAAAAGCTGCTCCTTTTTGGGTGCTGAAATGGAAAATTGGCCTTCACAGGGGATTATTTTAAGGGCTGCCCCACTTTGTCCCACATGGTGGCCGGTCTATTGCAACATGGATTAAATCCCATTTTGAGGTCACATTTAATAAAAGGATGTACAGTTTTGCAGCAGTGCTGTTGTTGAACACATTTAATGTGATAATTAATTGAGATAGTGGTTTGGGTGACAAGGGAGTGGTGATGTTTCAGGCAAGGTTGTCTTTGTCTTTTGGCTGTTATTGGATTGAACAATACAGATGGGTCAACTGGCAGGGAGCAGACAACTTGGCAAACAATACTAAACTGTTAAATAGAGCATCACCAGCCATCTTTTGTCTTTCATTGTTTGTGCTTCTTGTCCAGCTCCAACTGGCCACAGCACAGCACTAGTTCAGTAAATGAGCTTAAAATCTATATTGTTATTAGTCAAATAGTTCAGCGGGCTTTATAACTTTAGAGAAACGGGTTGAAAACTGACATCGTCATTGTTTTATCTGCCCCACGGTGGTTGGGATTGTTTGACCATACTGACACACACCAACCACTGAACTTAACCCTCAGTTTAAGCAAGATAAGATGCAGATCAACAGTGATATGATTCATTTTGTAATGTGCTGATTTCATTTAAATAAAAAAAAACAACAATTGACCCAGTTCTACTCACTGGATTATGGCTAATATGATGCTATGCAGAGGACCTTATTATACATGCATGTAAACTGCATTCATATCTGTTCTGTGTGCCTTCTAAATCAATTTGGTTGTTCTGACATCTTGATGTCTCAGTTGGCCACTACACAACATCCCTATAAATAAAGTGTCAATATACCAGAATCTGCTAACATAGAAATTCCATAATAAATATGCAAAATATTTTTTAAACCTGATCTTGGGTTTAGGGAACTAAAAAGATGTGTGTTACCAGTGGTGATGTCATTGTGGGGACTGTGGTTGGTAAATCATCTCTCCACTGTCTCCCCATGGTAAACAGCAAAATGCTACTATCATGGAGGAGACCACCATGTGGGTTCCAGCACATTAAAGCTGGCCAGAGTTTTCTATTTTCATGTTTTTTCTTTCAGTTTGTGATAATGTAGCCAAGATCTAATCTGTTAGTATGCATTGTATTGCTGAGATGGCCGGGACAATTTTAAAAAGTGGGGAAAAACTTCACATTTTACCCTGGTGATAGGTTGAACGGAGAGAGCAGTCATTGGGTTGTTGGAGACTGTTTTCTGCTGATGTAGCCTCTTGCAGCTAATTGTTTTCTAGCCTTGAAAATCACATCTTGAACCAGGCCCTGCAGTGGACAACAACACCACTGTCCAGATGGCATGAAAACAGCAGTGCTTAGTGCCCACTCCAGATTCCACTTAAGCATTCTGGCACAAAGCATCTGCTTGTTTCTGTTGTTAAATTTCCTTCAGTAGAGCAACTAATGCGTTCTGCTGAACAGTTCCTATATACAGATTCAGCTTAATTAAAAGGCAAAAGTACTTGGCTTCATGTCTGTCTTTATAGCTGTTGAGGTGAGTGTATAAGGTTAGAAAAGGCTTTGTCAGCAAAGGTACTATTGTCAGTAACTGGTACACATTAAAGGATGTGTTGTATGCTTGCACAGCTGAGAATGTTTGTATGGCTGAGTTTTGTATAGTAAGCAAATACAGGAAGCCATCCTAATTAGAGCATGTGCCACTTACGATCCGTCTGTCTATGGGAAGTTTCTGCCATAGATGCATTTTCCGGCTTTTAAAGGCATTTATCACAAATCAGCTAGATTCTGTTTTCTATGCTATAATATATTTCCTACACCATAAAATTATGTTTTTACAGCCTTCATTTTTAAGTTTTGGTCATTATTCTATCACCAGTTACTTTCACTGCTGAGATCAGGGATGTGACAATACCAGTAACCATAACCATAGCCATAGTGCAGTATGAACAGGAGACGACAGGTTAAAACAGGTCTGATCACTTATGTGGTTGTCCTGTGCACTTCATTGTTAGCTGTCTCTAGTAACATTACTGTATGGTGATATTATATCAGCTGTTAATGATTTTTAACTTTATGCAATCGTTTTTGTTAAGGATTCCTTACATTTGGTGATTTGTGATCAAGATATGTACTATTTAACAACTGATCACGACTTAGTGTCTACAGCATTAGTGGCAGCTCTGTGAGACTGTTTTCAGGTTAACATTTTGCTTGGAGCTAAATGTTAACTTCAGTATGCTAACACGCTCACAATGACAATGCTCAAAACGGCAGGAGTAGCAATGCTCTGACGTCACTCTCAGTGTGGCAGCGTCCACAGAAACTGAACTTGAACTGTGTTGAATTAATAAAACTCTCAAAATGAAGACAGTTTACTTAGGCTGCGTTGGTAAATGACATTTGAAATTCCTATTGTGTGTACCACTCTGACTAAATTGATGTAAAATATTATGTGTTTCAGCCACTTTCCTGATCTGTCATTTATCCTAATAATTTTCAACATGGGAATTCCCAACCTCTGATGTGAGCATTAGTCATACACCAAAGTATTGGACAACATTAATTTCTTACTTTACTTGGTATTTGGAAAGTCAAGGAATCACAAATTATCACGAGGGCAATAATCTGTACCAGACTGCATAGCAGTCCATCCAATAGTTACAGAGATACAGTATGCCAGTCTGGACCAAAGCAGTGGATCAACCGACCAACAGATCCACCAACAGACCGGCACTGCCATGCCTACAGATGCTTAGAGGTCCCATTAGAACGGCTAAAATAAACTTGTAAGTGCTCTCTGGTACAGACACCCTGTAATGACTACACTGTGTCCAAATTAACTCAAAAGTGCATTATCTTTGGAGTTTCTGTGCTGTAGTCTTTTGTAATTTATTGACCAACATATATATATACATATATACAGCAGTATTTAGATATTTGTGGTACTCTAAAATCAGCTGGTAATAATAATTTATTGTGTCCAGCTCTACTTCTTTATCTCCTGCCTAATCTCAGAGACATATGTCAGTTATGATTTTTAGGCTTGTTTTTTGTAGACAAAGCAGATTCAGTGGTATTAAGACTTGAGGGTGAATTCTGCTCAAACTGATGAAAGCATAATGTGACACTTGGAGAAAACACACACACACACACACACACACACACACACACACACACACACACACACATACACACACACCTATGCCCTCTCACACCCAGTAACAGTGACAGTTATCCTGCATACTGGCATACAAGAGTAGTGCCAGTGCCTCACATAGCTGCCACAACAGTGATGACCCTATTCTGCCCAGAATCCATCTCTGTCATGAGCGAGAACATGGACAGTGAAAAGCTGTCTCAGCAAAGTTTCCTAAGGCAAGGATGGTGGTCAGAGGCCGGTGGATAATCCACGACTAGTGGCCCGTTCTATATCGCAATGATTGATGCTAAACTACAGGCTTCTTAAAATAAATTTGTTAGACTAGATATCTCTTTTGCAAGATGCCAAGACTGGACATGAGTGATGACAGCTGTGGATATGATAGAGATGCTGTGGTTGACACATCCATTTACTATCTTGTGGATGTCAGCGACAGCTTTGGAGTAGCAGTCTGAGTTTGTGGTTCCAATCTTTTAAAGTGTGGCGCTGAGGGTGTGTTCCTACTATCACAGCTTCACACTTTGCATGGGAAAGCCTTATTATTTACAATTAGGGCTGGACATCCAAAAGGGTGTGTGTGTGTTGGTGTGTCAGGTATCTTCTTTGTGATGTTCATGTCGAAGATATGAAGACACAGCCAAAGTTTGGAAATGGGCGAGTTTGGGTGTGGTTTGGCTGTCATCTTTGCTGTTTACAGATGATGTCAGTGTTTTGGCGTCATTGGAATGTGACCTTGAGTGCATTGGAGCAGTTTGCTAATGAGTGTCACTGTCACAGCTGGGACTTTGGCCAGCACTTTACACATCTGACTTCATGGTTCTATCCTGGAAAAAGTGAAGTGGGGAGTGTAAGAGAAGTACTTAGTTACCCTTTAAGACACCTGGAGCCTTGGTCCTTGGAGCTGGTTGCGGTGCAGTAGTTCAAGCTGGAATAATTCTCTGAAGAGGCTGACTGACAACTGTTTGACAACTCAACTCATACTGTAGTTTAATCTGACGGAAAGATATGGGTGAGGTTATACGAGTTTCGTGTTAGGTGAGGTTGCACGCACATAAGAGATGAAGCTAAGAAGTGGATTACAATGAACAAAAAGCCTTTTGTTTGAGTGTTTCCTCACCAGCTCACATGTTTGCTTCAAGGCTTTTTCAAAATCCTTGATGACTTGTTGAAATTCCTGACAACAACATTCAGTGAAGCAACACAAGGCACAAACATTGTTTGATGTATACAGTGCCTCATAGGGTCATCAAATGCTGTCATGAAGTTTCCTTTAATCTGACTATTTATTACAATATGTTAGTATTTATGAGAGTTTGGCTCATACACTAATACCTCAAATCTGGTGATTATGTATTGTGTCTGTGCAGGCTTGTACACTCTGAGTGCAAAAGTTTTTAGTGTTCATTGGCCAAGCTTTATGAAAAGGTATGGGCCACTTACCATAATAAGTGAAATGGCCAATAAACTGTTCAACACCACTTTTAAATAGATTTGTCCATCCACATATATGTCACTCGTATACAGATTATAGTTCTGTATGTAAGTGACATTCTTAGGCCCACACCATTTAATTTCATCGGAGAAGCATTTAATTAAATTAGTATCCATCATCTGATAGGACTGCATTCACAGCAGTCTCTAGAAATGCTTTCCGCCATGGTTTCATCTGGTAGAATTACAGCTGATGTTAATGTTAGGCTCTGTATGCAATGACTGTGGTCTGTGCCTTTTTAAACTGGTTGTAAGCAAAAATGTCAAAGGCAGCAAATCCATAAGCATTAAATCTATTTTAATAATGGGTCTTTAGGTAGGAAACCCATACTGAAAACATATTTTGCCATTTGTACTGAAACTAGCACACTCTTTATCAGGCTAGGGAAGCAGCTTGTGCTGTCAGAACTGCTTTTATTTATACAGACTTTATTTCCCTCTGTTACTCCCTCTGTACTAACTCTTCTATGGTCTTGTACGGATTTCACAAGCTTTCCACTGTTTTTCCAGTGTGGTGTCAAATAAAGCATCTGTTTGAGGGATTATATAGCAGCCACAAGGTTCATAATAATACAGTAAAATTCCCTGTTTAGATTATAGGCTTTAGCAGTCCAGCATCACACTCTGTCTTTACTGTGTTTGTTGCATGTGGGGATTTCTATGGTCTCATCAGAGACTTTGAATTTTCCTATGGCAACAGAAGCACCTATGACTCTATATGATCTATCTACATGGGAATTCTTTTATTTTGAACTTCTTTCATTTGCATTTTTTGTGGATGAAATCTAAACAATGTGTGATTCATGTCTCAACTACACATACTTGTAACTTGGCACCACTGTGGACAATTTTTATGTGTAGCCTATTAAGTTGATCCATTCTGATAGACTGTTCACGTGAATTCCTCTTCACAAACAAATCGTTTATTTCTGTTCTCACAGATTCAGTTCAGTCTGTCAGGGAAAGTATCCTTTGACCTCATCACCGCGCTGATTTGGTTGATAGATAAGTCAATGAGTGGCCCTACTGGCAGTCAGAGAGGCAGAAGTCAGAACAATGAGTTTGGATGTTAGTTTTGTTTGTTTGAGTCTTTTGTGCAGTAAAACCCTCTTTTATGTTGCATGCTGGACACATGCTGTGTGGATTTCATGTAAGCTCACATGAAGTTCCCACTGTGAAGAGCTCAGCTTTAGATTTTTAACCCTGTATATATACTATCATGTGACCAAGGGATTAAGTAGTATATCATTGTCCAACATTAACAAACCTTAGTACTTTTGTGTCCACTGGCTTTTTGGTAGTTTCAACAGTGCTCCAAGTTTATAGCTGGAGGGCTTTTTTGGTTTGACATTAGGGAGTGGAGTGGATAAATGTCCTCCTTCAACTTCTCTACCATATTTGGTCTAAAGAGTCAGATGGTCAACTAATTGCCTTACTGATTTTATCACCTGTCTCATGATCAAGACTTTGAAGTGCAGAGTGTGTGATTTCATTTAGTCACCTGTGTGGCACAGTATGTTTGTTCAGTGCTGGATTTTCTGCTTTCCGGGATACTTCCCTGATTCAATGGTGTTCCAGCTTTCAGGCAACAAACTCCTTTTTGTGTTTATGCACAGTATGAAGAGCTCTGCTCAGGACATGCTGGGAAAACTTGTTAAGTCATTTCTTAGAAGGATGCTGATAAACAATTACAGTGATGCTTCAAGCTGTTTTAGTACTTCTTTGACATCTTCTGCAGTTGGTTCAGTCTTTTTGTTAAGTTCATTCTGTCTAGATGTGACTACGGTTCAAAGATTTGCTAAAACAAACATTTCTTTTAATTCGCTTTTTCCTCTTCTTTCCCCTCTTTACCTGTTTCCTTCCTTAGTCTCTACATGCATAACCACCTGTAAGAAGGCTGCTCCTCCACCAGTGCCACCCCGTACAACCTCCAAGCCCTACATCTCTGTGACAGTACAGAGCAGCACAGAGTCGGCCCAGGACAACTACCTGGATCAGCAGGACCGGAGGTCAGAGGTCAACAGCCAGTCTAGCCACGCTCACAGCAACTCCTCTGACAGCCTCGATAGCACCCGTGCCAACAGCCTGGCCCGGGGTATTCCCCGCCCTCCACACATCATCCCCACTCCTATTGCCACCCCAAGAGAGCCAATTGCCCCCACCACCGCCAATGCTTCCACTGAGACAAGTGACTCAGTAGTCCAGCATGAATCCCTGAAATCAGGATTAAATAAAGGGAATCTAGTGGCAGAGGAGCCCCTAGTGGCCCCAGTACCCAGGCGGAAACTGTCCTCCATTGGCATACAGGTAGGCGGTGAGACTGTTGTACTATCCAGGAGGAGTACAGTTGAGTCAGTGCTCTTACGACATATGAAAGCATACTAACACAGTCAATGTAGTGCCATAGTCACAGTGTTTTCTGAAGTGTAGCTCATTCCGCCGGTTGAGTTTAATTCCAGGAGATATCCTCTGGTGTATTGCCATGTCTGAGTGTGTCACTTCAAGCCCAAAAATGTGCTTGCAAGCTAAAGGTCTCATTAGGGTGATCCTCCCTCTATCATTAGAGCTGGCTATATACTGTAGTATAGAAGGCAGAAAATGCATTTTTGTGTTCCCCTCAACCATAACTTTCTTCTCTGTATGTGCTGAAGTAACAGTCCCTTTCTCCATTTCCCAAACCCTGCACATTAACAGAACTCAGTCAGGGTAACATTTTATTAAAAACCAAGCACAAAATTATATGGATTTTCTCTGAATTTTCCTGTTTTTCTTTTGATGTTTTGGTTCATCACTTAGAAAAATTAAAAAACCATGCTCAACTGCACTGTTGTGCTTGGTTTGGTGGTTCTGTGTTTTGATCAGGTCACTGATCATGTTTTTTTTCCATATCACTATTTATCTGTTCTAAGGTTGACTGTATTCAGGAAGTTCCACGAGAGGAGACCCCACCACTGGCCAAATTTCAGTCAATTGGAGTACAGGTGGAGGACGGGTGGCAGTAAGTCCTCTTCCTGTCCTTGTTACAACGTGAGGAATTTATATTATAGCCATACACACTGCTCTGATGATTCTTTCCCTTTACAGGATCTATAAAAATGTGAAATAAATGTGAATGTTGTTGTTTTTTGTCTGTAAACCATCTTGTGTGTGTCGTGTTGGTGATGTTGAAGCAGATTCCTGGCATGAGCATTTACTATTTAAACTTGTCACTTTTTACTGTATATTTGAGACCCATTTCTTGTTTGTTGCAGTTCAGTTTGCATTCTGTGCTCATGATGTTTTGAATACCAGGAAGTTCTGGGACGCCTCATGCCTTCCTCCTGTATTTTCTCACTTTTGCATGCTGCATTTGGAGCAGCTGCTGCTCTGACTCCTGATTGATATTTTACCAACATAACCAGAGGTCCTCTGTTTATTTGTACATTTCTTCCAGAACATTGTCTTTCCTAAGTTTTTATTGATGTTGTACTCACATTTGTGCCATATGACAATCCTTCAGCTGTGTCTGTTTGGTTCAACAATTACCATAATATGCCGTATCCTGTGCCTTTCCAGTATTTTGCTGTTCTTATCCTCCCCTAATATCGGTTATGATTCTTCAATCAAGCCCTCATAATATTTCATTAGCTGACTGAATCATCACTTACAGGCATTTCTTGAGTAATAACAGGAAATGGAAAATATGTTCAGTGTTCATCCATTTGCCATATGAAAACAAGCTAACATCGAGTGATAAGAGATTAGTTGATGCCAGTAAGAGTGCACTATCATATATCATATATACAAAATCCTGTCTCTGATCGATCCTGTTTATTGGCTGGACCCTAAAAGTGGGGCCAGCCCTGTAATCAAGAATGCCTCTGACTCACTGGCTGATCATAATTCCACCATTTGCTATGTGATTGAGTTGGAGTTTCCAAAAGGTGGAACCAAGCTGGTCTCAGCTCAGTCTGCTGAGATCACCTCTCAAGGTGTGCTTCAAGTCCATGTTGTGGTTCACTTAACCTGTGCATTGTGAACACACAACACTTCAGGTTCACTTTGCCTTTTGCCATTGTGTTTTAGCCCTGCCATAGATGGATCACATGGTATAGCACTGGAACACTCGAAAAAACACATTGACGGAACCATGGCCGCTGGTAACCACAGCAAGACTGGTGGGCAATGAGTAGTTTGGGCTGACGAAAGAATTACTGTACTTCTCTATAGAACAGAATGAACACGTCAAAAGGCAACTGTCTAGTACTTCTTCTAATATAGCAATAGTACAGAAAGAGGACTAAAGCTCCATTAGAACTGAAGTGGACCATAAAGAGAACTTAGTCCTCTTTCAAAATAACTCACAATGCAAAAACGCAAAAAGGACTCTTTTCTGTTGGTCCACTTTAGCATGACTGAGTTTTGTTCGTTTAAAAAGGACTAAATGCGAAAACAACCTAATACACCCTCACTTGTAACTTTCCCTCTGAGTCATCATTTTACAATTAAATATAGGCAAAATTCAGCACAGCTGTTGTCTTTAACTCACGTGAATGGTGATATTGTCAGACGACGCTGTGGTCATAAAATCAGGATTTTAATAGTGCAGAGTAGCAGCTTAGAAATGGCTTGGAAGTTACTATTTCATATTTTGACATAGATATGTGAATGAGAACAGCCTATTGGGAATTCTGCTGTATTAAAATACTGTGTAAACAGTGAGGGTGGTAGAGAGACAAACAGACAAAGGAGTGAAACCGGCGGACACTAGGTAGAATGCAAATAGCTAACAACGCATTCCAGCCATATACTAGGTTTTGACCTTGTGTTGTTTATTGACCTGCAGAATTGACTCAGTTTTGAAACTGGGCAGTGCTTCTTCGTTCCAGTAATGTAGACATTATACTTGTATCATTTATTGTTTTCTCTGTCCACTGTTGTAAAAGTCTTGAAAAAGCCTGTTTGTAACAGTGAGCCTTGCCCTGTGTCTTTCAGGCTCAGTCGCTCCAGTAGCATGGCCTCAAAACAAGAAACAGACTCAGACACACAGGACATCCCTGTCATCTCCCATGTCAATAATACCAAACCCACTGAGAAGAAAGTCATGGTCAATAGTGCCAGCCAATCCATGAGCTCCCCTCCTGGACAGGATTCTTTAGACAATGGAGACACTACTGGTGACATCTCTTCACCTCCACCACCCAGGCAGATCCTCAACCGCTCCACCACACGGAGTAGCTCTTCCTCATTCTCAGAAAGTCTGGATCCGGCACTGGATCCCTCGTCCTTACCACCTCCAGACCCCTGGCTGGAGAGTGGCAATGGCAGTAACAGCAGTGTACCCCAGAGCGGAGGAGGGGGAACACTTTGTCGGAGAGATGGCCACTGGTTCCTAAAGCTGCTGCAGGCAGAAACGGGACGTATGGAGGGTTGGTGCCAGCAGATGGAGCAGGAGACCAAAGACAACCAGCTCTCAGAGGAGGGTAAGGCTTACAGGGTACTTACTGCAACTCCAGGTCTTTTTGTTAGATTGCTTCCACAGCAATTGGAGGAGCTTGCAAATTGTAATGGGAGAATATTGTACTTAAAAAAAAGTTTCAAACTGGAAGTTGTTAAATTTCAAAGGTTTACCTTTGGGTTACTAAAAATGAGTGTCCATCACCTATATAAAGATAGTTATTTGACCCAGAAATTACAGCGTAATGCCAAATGTACAGTCAAAGCATTTCTGAAATCAAACATTTGGAGGCCCTCTGAATGAACCCTGCATCTTGAGCCTCACACCAGAGGTCTGATACTGTCTGACCTCAACACGTGGTTCAGAGCTCCCTTATAGGGCTCTGCCTCAGGCCCCACAATCACTCTATCAGACATACACAGCATGGAGGGGATGAGGCGGTAATACCTGGGGTGACCACACACAAGCAGGACTGTAATCCCCAGAATTACACAAATCTACTCTGGAACTGATTAAACCTCCAGATTAGATTAGTGCTCCAACATCAGCCTGACAAGGCATACAGCAGTGAAGACACACAAATACACACTACACACAAACAAACAAACAATGAGGAGGCTTTGGATGCTCAGTTTTTATCAGAAGTGCTGGATCAATGTATGAACAAGGCCCAGTGGAAGTCCATATATTTTCAAAAATGAATCTATGTGTGGTTGTTTTTACTGTAGTTAGTTTTAAATCTGATGCAAATCTGTGGTCCAGAGCTGGGTCTCACCACACTATAATCACATTGCCATAACTTTGCAATCCAGTGATCAGATAGAGTCCCAATTTTGTCAGGGCAGATGTTTGTCCTAGTTGCAACAGACTAGCATAGTGAATGCTGACAGCAGAAGGCTGGAGTATCTATATAAGCTTATATGCTTTTAAAGAGGATAACATTGTCCAATGCACTGTAATCCTCTTCCTGCTATCCTGTGGAGTCGGTGGGACAGTGCACTGCAAAGCACACCTATATGTCTAGACACCTGCAGTAAGCATCTGGTTTGCATCAAAAAAGAGTTATGTATAAACCAGAGAAAACTTAGTGAAGTTGAGGCAGTCGTTGTACCTTGGATATAGGCAGGGTTTGATGTGTATCGCCATGTTTCCTAACTTAAAGAAAAACAGATTGGGTTTGTGTATCATCCATTGCTGGACTAACAGGGCTCGTCTGAGATAAGCAATATTGTGACAAATGTATGTGTTTTGGTTGTGATTTTTGTTCATTCTCTCTTCAGTGCTGGGAAAGGTTCGCAGTGCAGTAGGAAGTGCCCAGCTCCTAATGACCCAGAAGTTCCAGCAGTTCCGGGGACTGTGTGAACAAAACTTGGTGTGTATTTTGCCTTTTCCTCTGACACTTCAACTCCACAGGTCTGCACAGACATCAGACTGAAACATCCACAGTCCCATACCCACGTTTTTGAAAATGGAACCAAACCCAAAAACCCTTTACTCAGTACACATAAAGGCTTTCACACAAATGAGAGCTGACTAATCTGCTATGATACGCAACATATTTAGTCTACAAAGAATACGGCATGGTGGCCCACCAGCACAGAATACAGGGAGCTTATAATAAGCCATTAAGTCATTCCTCTCAGATGACGTGTTTTACTGGAAATGGCATTATACAAGTTGAAGCCAATTACCGGCACATGACACTATAACACTATAGCTTCTCAAATAAATAAACCATCTGCTCTGTTAGCGTATATGATGTTCAACTTCCCAAATATTGGTCAAATGAACGTGACTGGTTAACTCTTTTCCAGCTTGACTTAACTTGATTTTTCAAGAAAAATCTAAATCCAGTTTACTACAAGCAAAACAGTTAATGTAGTATTTTTTAGAAGCCTTCATTGTGGGAAGAGAGAAATTTACAAATAAATTATATTTGTAAGTAACCAAACCCATCCTGAGCCTAAAGTCCTACGTAACAAAGTCATCCAATCCAGACTTTGAGCCTGATACTTTGTCAAACTCACACACATGGCCACATTAACAGTCATCATTATTACCATGCTATTTAGACAACAGAGGTTGCAGTGTGACAAAATGATTTTGCCTTATTAGTTAAGGAAATCAACAATGAATGCGTCATATTCATTGATGTAACTGTACCATATCCTGTCTCCCAACTGACTAAGCGTCTTATAAGATTCAGTGAGTAATTTCTTTCCCTGCTTTGCTGTGACTAAACATCTTGTATTAAATATTGGACATAATGCAAATTGGGTAACTCTCAAGAAAATCTGCTTGGCATGTCTTCAGCTGTACATCCACTCAGTTAGGAGTGTAATTCTAAGCAATAATTGCTCTCCTGTTCACTGATCTTCCTGTCAGTTAACATGAAGAGACATTGCACACATGTGGTTTGCCCAAAATATCTGCACATACATCACAGCAGTGAGTCCAGCTGCTTAAATAGGAAGAACAGAGTGGAGCCTGTACAAACAAAAGCCTAGATCATTACAAACAGTGGCTGTCAGAGCAGGATTTACTTTATGTCTATCTGGCAATCTGTACAAGGTTTACAGAGACAACAATCAGAGACAGCTGCTTGTAAACAAGTGAGTGGCCATGTATGTTGTTACTTATAATGTTAACAGTGAATCAGCAGTGAATCCTGAATTATTATGTTCTTTTTTGTTTTGTTAACAGTGTCATTAACTTGTTCCTCTGGCTCACTATTCTGACTTATTCAACCTAAAAGTGATGAAGCATTTCATCACTTATATAAAATATTATTACTTATTATTATCCTTATCCTTTATTTTAACAGGTAGTGCCATTGGGATCAGGATTTCTTTTTCAAGAGAGACCTGTGTACAAAAATAAACATACAGTTTATACACAGACAGACACATAAATTCACAGGCATTAAAATAGACACACACAGACATTGTACATTTTCACATTTACTTTATACTGTGTCATTTTCAGAATTTAAATTTTCTGGAAAGGGGAAAACCCTATTGTGATCCTTTTATTTTGGTGCAGTGCGCAGCTTGGCAACATAATTGTGCTGTAACTTGGCTCCCTCTAGTGGTGAATATGAAAAGAGCAGCAGTTGTGTATGATGACCAGTACAGTGTAATATTAGACCATAATTAAGAGTTAACAATTAACAGCCAATGATGGTTACAATTTTGACAAAAAGAGTCACTTCTGGAGGGCATGACATTAACGTTGCACCAGAACCAACATTAGTCTGTTTTGTCTTTTGTTTTTTTCATTTGTTGTTTTAATCTCACCCAAAGCAAAAAATAATTACACAGTTAGTATAAGTATTTCAGTCACTTAAACAGGTAAAAGCAAAATAAAGGGGGGGGGGCGAGGCAAAAACAAGTTCAGGCCACAATTATGTGACATGTGGCAGATTGTGTTCGAATAAAAGATCACTCTGCAGTTTATTTAGCCTACAATTAGATAAAAATAGCGCTCATTTAATACTGACGATCATTCTCTACCTGCAATGGCTCAAGCTAAGATGAACGAACAAAACAACAGCCTCTTCACAAAGCCTCAGCTCCTGTAGTTACATGAACAGAATGGATGTGACGAGAAGAAATTGCACCATTTTCATACCAGTACCACCACAAACTGGGATAAGTGGTGATGGAGCGAACCGACAACAACTGACCTAGATACCCCACCCACTGCCATGACTCTCACATTATTGACACATCTAGGACAAAGTATTTTAAGGATTACCCTAGTTTTTAACTTACCAAATCTTCTCAAGTAAAGTGTAGTCAGCTTTTATATATTGGGTGATTTATGTTTTAGATTTGTTTTGTATCATACACCTGATCCATCTCTGCTGCTAATTACCACGGATGTGTTGAAATTAGGCTCACTTTGTTTTTTCTGCCATATCAAGGCCAAAGATCCATTTTTAAAGGCTGGTCAGAAACCACAGCCCAATTTGCCGAGCTTTGAATGTCCTATTCACACCATACACTGGAAGACAAGACAAGAAGTGAGACAGATGTGTAATGGGTTCTGACTAGTTGATTCACAGCTGGTTGTAATGCCAGACAAAAAGCGATATCAATGAAGTTCAGGTCTTGAGGAAAATATTTCATAAACATTTTTACTTTCTAATATAATCCATATCATCTACAGTATGACCATGTCCTGCACCACGTCCTCTTTCCTCATCGTTCATACATTGTTCATTCTTTTTTATCCCTCTCAGAATGTGAATGCCAATCCGCGACCCACAGCCCAGGACCTGGCTGGTTTCTGGGACCTGCTGCAGCTCTCCATTGAGGACATCAGCCTCAAGTTTGATGAGCTCTACCATCTCAAGTCCAATGACTGGCAGCCCATACCATCTGCAGCTGCCCAGTCGCCCCCTGAGCGGAAGGTACTTCCCACCCCTGCTGCCCAGTGCCCTGGCTGGGGTAGGAAAGCCGCCGAAACCGGCCTCTCTCCTCCCACCACCACCACCATTGCTCCCACTCTTTTTTACCTCCCCTTCAACTTCCCACCCTGTCCCTGCGTGGGATGAACTCTAACAGGGCCTCCCTGTCCAATTCAAAGGGGCAAGAGAGATCCCTTTAGGCATGCATGGAAATATTCATCTCAAAGAGGGCTGTCGTTGGTGTGTGTAAAGCCCTGCTTTGAGCATGCATGTGTCACTTATTGATGTGTGTGCTGCAGTGGAGCATGGCTAAGATGCACTGGCTCATGTGACAGAATGCAGCCTTGCTTTGGTCCTGCTCTGTTTAAATAATGTTTATACTTGTGTTTATGTGTCTTTGTTGGTTACTGTTTGTTGCTCTCTGTCTAAATTTTGGTGTGTGTGTGTGTGTGTGTGTGTGTGTGTGTGTGTGTGTGTGTGTGTGTGTGTGTGTGTGTCTGTGTCTGTGTCTGTGTCTGTGTCTGTGTCTGTGTGTGTGTGTGTGTGTGTGTGTGTGTGTGTGTCTGTGTGTGGATCTTTTAATGCTGTAGCTGAAGTGCTCTTGCTTTATGTTGCTTTGCAATGCAAACTGTCTCGTGATCCTTTCCCTGTGCTTTCAGTTTGATCCAGTCTGCCATCATTTCATGTTACCATTTCATGTCTTTGAAAATTGTCATTCAAATGACTTTTTCTCAATGTCTGTACTGTCTGTGTTTTTATGTTTATCACTTTTTACAAAAGCTTTAACAAAAACTTTCAGCGTTGGCATAATGTCTTTGTCAAAGTCTTGTCTGCCAAACCTGCCTTAACAAATAGAACCTGTTGAGCAGTTTCCTTATTACCTTCTCTCATTGTCTTATATGTGTCTTTTGTCCTTTCTCCTCCCTCTGTACAATACTCTCTCCCTCTGTCCTCTTCTATCTGTCATGTGTCATCACTCCAAAATTACAGGACGAGGAGAAGGTGGCCCCTCCAACGTCAAAGAAGCCCGGTAAAGGACGACCATCGCTGGGCCGCGAGAAGAGTGCCGACTCTTCATCCACCTCTTCTTCGGCCTCGGCAGAGAAGCAGAGACAGGAGGCTCGCAAGCGCCTGCTGGCTGCTAAGAAGGCCGCCTCGTTTCGCCAGAACTCTGCCACAGAGAGCGCAGACAGCATTGAAATCTACGTCCCTGAGGCCCAGACTCGCCTCTGAGACAGACAGTGACAAAGAAGGATGTAGGGCTGGATCAAAGGATAGATAAGTGTCACTGAAATACCTGGAAAAAGCAGAGGAGAACTTTTGCAATGCAAATGAGCTACTCAGAGTATGGATGGAGGTGGGGGGAGGAGAGATCAAATTCCCAGAGATGGGGGTGGGGGTCAATTTGGGCATTTTTGACACATTCATACAGTTATAGGCTGGTCCTGGTGGCATCAACACTTAATTAACAAAGCAGAAAATGAGACATTGATCTTGCGGATGACAGACTATGAAGCAGGAGACTCGTCATTTGAGGCTGCCATTGAAAACCTCAGTTGATGAACTTTGTCATTTCTTGTTACTACTCTTGATATCATAAAATTGTTAATGAAGGTATTGTTAATATGACGATTATATCCTAAAGAATCTATATGAAGACTGTTTTAAACGTTCCTCTATCTTGGCTATAAGATCTATTAAGTGGACAGAAGACGAGCATTAATGCTTATCTGTCTCCCATTGTCGTCCTCTTCCCAGATCATTGGCCATCTTGTAGCTTTTCACAACACCGCCTTGTGGCCATCACACACACTGCGCACACTACATCCACTACACTTCCACTCCACAAACTCACACCTATGTATGTCTTCCTTGTATTTATTTGTTTAGTTTATTCATCCTTTGTTTTGTATAGAAATCCATTTAGATCAGGGTATTATGAATATTTTTGGTATGATGAAATTGAAAGTCAGGTTTGAGGGGTTATTTATATAGTTCCTATCAATTAACTCTTGTGTGTGTTCTTCAAAATGTTTTTATGTCAAAAGATTTTAAACACTGGTGAGAATTCTTAACAGTTTTGAATGAAAGCACATCCCAATGTTAACAATGACCGAGCATGAGGATCTCAGTTTCAGTCAGAATGACAGTGGCCACAATATTACTGAATAACATTTTCTTTGTAGGATGAACGTCCTCTTCAGTTTCTTCTGCTTCTCTCTGTTCCATTAACTTCATGTTTGTGCTGTAACTGCAGATACGTGAATATTTCAGTCTGTCTGAGGCTTTTTTAAGTGCTTTTATTAACCTCACTTAGCATTCAACTCATACATCTCAAATGAATCTAGGGCTTTTATTGAAGTAATGCAGCAGGCTGAGTATGCAGGATAATATTGTTATTGTTTGTTGGGGACACACATTAGTACATGTCTTACTGTTTCTTTTATACTATGTTTCCAAGAGCATTTATGATTTATTTTGCCTCCATCACTCAACAAAATCAATCTTAGTTCTTTGTTACCATTATTGTTTTTCCCGCCACTGAAATCGTCCAAAGTATCTGCACTTTTTTTATTCAGAGAAAAAAATATTTAATTAAAGCATTACATACATTAGTCATTGTGTTTTCATCATTTATTAAATGCTGCTTGCTTTTTTCATGGAAGACTGCATAAGCCAAAGATGAATTCACTGTTTCAAATTCATCTCATGTATTTAAATGTCATCAGCAGGGAGCTCAATAGTAACTGTGCTTACTGTGAAAACAGATGGAGTGGACTGTAGCCACAGCACTATATGTATTACAGGTTTAACATTTAGATATGCATATGCCCTGAAGCTTGAGCAGAGCTGTAACAACATTGAGTAATTGCTTTGGAGTGTTCAAGGCCAATGGGAGCTGGAAAGTTAAGAAACATGAAATGTGGCTTTAAAACACTGAACAGAGTTTACGTGTACCACTCTCAAGGCAGGCCTCTGTCAACATCGCTGTTCCCACCTCTGCTTGGAAACCTTCTGACCTCTAGAGGGCAACAGTGATTCGTTCTCAATGTGAGGTACATTGTTTAAAATTAATAGAATGAAAAGGTATTTACATCATGCATGAAGGAGACACATTGAGTGGATTTCACATATTTACAGAATTACTATCTCTCATTTGAAGCCACTTCCCAAAACCAACAGGTCTGAAACAAGGCCTGTTGGTTTTTATACTTATGTACACTCACCTAGAACTACACATCCAACCATAGAGACAGTCCTAACACGCCACAGCTTGTCTGTCTTCCTCTCACATTTGGTTTCTTTCAAATAGTACGTGACTACAAACTAATAGTAAACAAAACTTAACCTCCCCTTCCTAATTAATTATGTTAAACTACAGCAACGTCATTCCCTTGCTTTGACTGCTGCAATGCCTCTTTCTCACCCACTGTGACTCAAAAATGCAGCCTGGGGCTTTGAAAAGACAAAAAAGCCAGATGACCACCATTCTTTCTCTATCTTGGCAAGAGCTTTCTCTTGATGACGGGCCTTTGTTTGCCTGTTGTGTTTGCCTGCTGGGGATGACTCTCAGCAAGGAAAATGGCCCAGGGGTGTCAATAGCTTGTTCCCTGGTTGCTGTCAATGCCCCCTTCCATTTGACTGGGGTGGACAGCATCGTTAGCACCTGAAGGCCTTTTGTGTGACTCAGCCATGGGCTTGATTTGATTTCTGACTGCCAGGAAAAGGTTGTGTGTATCTGACAAGTTGTTTTCCCAAAATAAGCAAAGTGGAAGCAATACAGTCGCCTCTTGCACGAGTAAACAGGTTAGCTTATTGTCAATATATTTAATTGACTACATTAAATGCACTCACTCTCATTTTTTTCTTTTTTTAGAATTTGTTTGATACATTGCACATTATCAAACCATATCATTTTCATTTTTTCCCCTATTGACTGCAGATTGTTTTTCAGGCTCAGGCCCAGACCCTGCCGTCAACTTTCCCCACTCAAAACCGTAGGTCTGTGCCTGACTGGACCGCAGATCAAACACAATGTGGCACCTGGAACTCAGAGAAAGCTGTTCTATCACCTAACCATCACAAAGTGAAAGGCTTTTCTAGCCTGCTGTAGCTTATGATGTGTAAAAATGGCAAGACATGTCAGTGACTTAAAGAGGCTACTTAAAGAGAGAAAAGAGAGCTCATCCCATACATCTTAACAAGGCTTCTCTCCAATACACACATATCAGTGGGACACACCTAGGTCTGTTTCCTGGGTAAGGTTATCTATGATCCAAGCAGCTGCACTGTGGGGGGGGGGGGGGGGGGGGTTGCTGTAAAGCCATTGATTTTGGGGTGATAATGGTCCCCAAATAGGTTTGATGGAGTTGGCCTTTTAAAGTCAAAAGTGTCAAACTAAAAGCAATTGCTTAAGTAGCGGTTTGTTTTGGTAAAACCTTAGCTTTGGCTTTTCAACGTTGAGCTGCACTCTTTAATGTGCCTCTTGCAGTCATAACAAACTGTAGTTAAGTTGGTTGGTTATGTTCTCAATCATAAAAGTGAAAAAAAGCAATAGTCTCAATGTTAATGGATGAGAAAAAATGTGTAATTTACAATGTGGCTGTGATCAGAATTGTACCATCTCTTCTGTAACACCAATGTACCTTTATTTTTGATTCTAAAAATAGGTTTATAACACGTTATATAAAGTTTAGTTACCCTTAAAGATTGTGTTACGTATTTGCCACTTTTTCTACATTCCAGGACAGAGAAAAAGTCACTTCAGTAGAGGCTACAGGAGACAGACAAAGAGAAACGGGTTAATCCCAGGAAGAGAGTTTACCTCAGCTGGGACACCAGTGAATCCACTCCCATACAGTTGTCCAAAGGCCTGCTTGCAAAAAAAAACAAAAAAAAACAAGCTCATTAGCATCTCTGCTTTGTTCCACTGAGTCAGGCATTAAACTGGGAAAGGGGTGAGGTGCAGAACCTATGCTCTTGCCACAAGAGATATGATGTAGCAAAAAGTTGTCTGTAAAAATACTAGAACAAATATTTTATGAAGCAAGCACATATTTTAAAGAGTAGGATCTGTTCAGTATAATACTCTATAGGCTGCGTGTATTTCAGGGTTTGTGGGATTTAATATAAAAGGGTTTTACTGTCTGAGACAAAGTTGAGTGTGTGGGTGTGTTGTTCATAAAATGAGATATACCTAGATTCATGTCACTATACTCTGGTAACATTTAAAATATATGTGCAATACTGAGTAAAAGGGTTCTTTGATATTAAGATGATGCTAATAACCTTGCATTTGTCCCCCTGTGCTTCTTAAAGTTGTCTTCTGTAAATAAGAACAAAACCAGACTGAAAACCTTCATCTTTTACAATGCTCTAGATCTATTTATACTGTTTCAAGGTTGTTCAAATGTATAACAGAGAGACATAACATTCAATAAAATGCACACAGTACTTTCTCAAAAAGTTCATCACGGCTGTATTTGCTTACTGTTTTGTACGAGCTGTTTGCTGACTTTCAAGGAGGAGGTGATTCAGTTTATGTTTTTTTTTCTTTCATTTTTAGAGACAGTACTGTACTCTGTTTGTTATTGTTTTAAAAACCTGCTGAATTTGAATTTGACTGCAGATCTGTTAGTACACATGCACATGTTTACCATGCCTTTCCCTGTCCAGCCACAGTGACAGAGGATGTTTTTCAACACTTAAAGTTAAATATTTAAACATAATATTTAAACAAACACTTTCACGTTTCTATATTGTGCTATCCTCATTTTGAAATCTGAACTCCCGCTCATTTGACCTGGGGAATCTCCCTGAGCCTTTGAGGATTCAAAGCATCCCACTTTTTTTTTTTTTTTTTTTTCGAGAGGGACGTCTGAAACACGTTACTATCATAAACCGAGAATCAATCAAACTGTAGAAATAGTGTGTAAATATGACAAAAGAAATGACTTTAGACGGTTTGGCTCGAGATATCTTGGCAAATTATACGATGACCAAGTCAAATGTGGTCACCAGTCGACGCTTTAGACGTTTATGATTTATGTAACAAGAACATTTTGCTCAATGTTACGTAAAGCCTGTGCACACTGTGTAGCTGTCTCCCGCACACAGGAACAAAGACGACCACAGTGGTTGAAACAATCACCGTACTGCTACATATAAACAGACCAGTGTCAATGTAACCGCGGGTCTTTAACCGCGTCGAGAAAATAACATTGTTTCAATGACTGCACTATATTTTGAATGAAATGGTTCTCCCGTCAGTCACAATGAGACAGAGCCTGTCTGCTTTCTGGCGGAGCGCGGTGATTGGCCAACGGCTGTCGAGGAGGCGTCATAGAGAGTCGTGATTGG